GGATGGTCTGCCAGCTCAGCATTTAATAACAATAAAAGTTAAAATAATAGAAACAACACAGCTGGGGAAGTCAGGAATTCACCTCAAAACTGCCATATACCATCTGTTATTACTAGAGAAATGCTATGACATCACAAAATAGCAACTTGAAACTGCAGTTCTAGAAATCAGCCTGTACTCTTGAAATTCAGGAGGAGCAAAGGGTACTCAAAGCATCAGTCTGACTGCAAGTTCAGGGCTGTGATACTGACTTGAAAGCTTCATTTGCATGCTATTTTTAGTCACTCAAAATTGCTAAATTTGTTAGTAGTGTTTATACTGTGCAGCATCTTGCTAGAATCTCCTTCTCTTCTGCTGGATACTCTTACTTGGCAGGCACAGCCTTCTGCTACTATTAGAATTTTTGGTTTTGCACAAAAAAAGTAATTAAGTAAAAACATACTTAGTATGTAAGGACACATCCAAGCAAGTGCATGAAGGGACAACTGGATTTTTTACACTACTTCTTTGTATTGCTCATTTGAAAATTTAAGAAGAAAAACCAGCAGACATTTTTTTTCTCCTGTGTTTGCTGAAAGTTTTCACTAATGGGAATCTACCGTCCTTACGCAGAGTGGAATCAGTGATATACTTCCCACTGATCTTGCTCAAGGCTTTGGATCAGGACATAGGCTTCACTAACAGGGGACACTCCATTCAACCTTCAGATTTAAGGCTTTGGCAGAAGTACCTGGTGAGAAGCTGCCTGCAGGAAAGAAGTTTTATGAGAATTCTAAAAGGTTGAGTGTGTGCCTCTGTCTAAAATCAGGTTTACAATATCTATCTCATAGTGTAACTATAGAGATTGCCTGGAAGATCCTGTTGAAATATTTTAGGCTTTACAGTAGGTCCTTCAGAACAAAATGCTGGRTATATGTATTAAAAGCCAATAGAAAATGTTCAAATTGGAGATTATTATAAGCTTTTCCTTTTTGTATTTCCCAGAAGTCTTCTGCATTGCATCAAAATAAGAAACGAGTGAGAAAGGGGAAAGAGCATGGAATAAGGAGGATAGAGTGACTAAGGATATGCTCTAGGGGCCACTTGAGTCAATGACTGTGTTTCCAGGAGGATTTGGTTCATATTCTGAATTTTCGACCCAGAATCTGCACAGAAGACAAAGGGGTGATTGTAATTCCAACTTGCAGAGAGGAGTCTGCTTAGCATAATCTCACTTCAGCACATATTGAGTAAGGGGGCATAGGGTACTGCTCTATGGCAAGGCAGCATGTGGCAGGCTCCTGTCTGTCCCTGCAACACTGAGGACCTTTCAGCTTGAATATTTTGAGGAGAGGATGAAGCATTCACACACATATAGCCATATATAAAAGCAATAGTCCGTATTTTTTTGCCTCCAGTATTTCAGTTTCTGAGCCCTATCTGTTCTATCCATTCCCATTTGCAATGCTTTGGAATCTGTTAAAAGCCCTGTTTGGTACAGCTGAAGATCAGCGTCTGACTAGATCAGGACTATGCAGGGCATTATCTGAAGATGGCCTTCAGACCTCATAAGATTCATTCTGTGGTATTATACTTTCTCAGCAAACATTAGAAAAAGGAAAGTATGGATACTTCCACATGGATATATATTTAAATACACACRTATTCACACACATACACAGAGGAAGGGAGAGAGAGATTAAAGTGAGGTCCAATTACTTTTTAAACTAATGCCCCTTTACATCTCTCTGGCACTGTTAAGAGTCCTTAAAAGGGAAGATGCATAATTTACATTCATTTTAAAGCCATCTCTGTACTGATGAGAAGTATAAAGGGGCCTTAGAGAAACAGAATCAGCCCAAAAGCACCCAATACCACATTTCCTTTTCCTGTTTTACAGATATTTGCATTACAAATGAGATGCCTTAATTACAGGTTGAATTGTAACTAAAACATATCTACAAATACAAACTGTAGAGAAGCAGTGGCTGGTATACTGGAACAAGACTTTAAGGGTATCTTCTGATACAGCCAGACGGTGAGTGAGACTCACACCAAGCCACCAATTCTGCCACAGCAGGACTCAGTGAATTTAGTGCTAAAGTMATTCTCTCTGATTACAAACAGCAGAGCTGTTCTCACGTTTTGTCCACTGGTCCACAGTGCAGAGAAGCACAGGCAGATGAAGGAGAATATTTTACCCACATACACTGCCTAACATCATAAAGTTATGTTTTGCAGATGACAGTCTCAATTCAGAGAAAAAAACCCAAAAATAATAGGGAAAGATAATTCAAACAGCAATTCCTACCTCATGCATACTTGACTTAATATAAATTATTGCCTTTTATGTAACATAGATGCTTATGMATCCTAATGGAAGCCTATAAATACATCTTGTCAGATTGAAGGTTCAGTCTCCAGTTGWGAGCTGGCTGCCTAGGGGGGTTTAAAAGCAGGGCAAGTGCACAGCAAGGATTTCTCAAAACTCTCACTTATKGTCCTCAACTTGTGGTCCAAGGACTTTCTGCACCAAAGCTTAAGAGCTCCTGATTGGTTTTCTTTCCAAGAAGAATAATTTTTGAGGATATKTGTACTTCTAGAAACCTCCTGCTCAAAGCTTCATCACATCGAGAGTGAAATGTCTGTCTTTGTTTTGCAGCTCTTATTTGCTATTTCCACTTCATGCCCCCTAATTCTTGAACTGGGAAGAATGATAGTGGTTTCCTCCTCACCCTACAAGATGCTGTGCTTCTGAAGATAATCCTGCAATAGATCATGGCAAAATGCTGTACTTAATAGCACACCTGTGACATTGTATATGCTGCAGCAGATAGAGCAACAGAAAGAGTGGTTTTCAAGGTAATCCTATTCTTRGTGTCTCATAACTTCAAAGCTGAAACTTGCTTGCTATATTCTACAATAAAAAGGACAGTCAAGTTTAGAGGAGAGCTTACACCAAGGGCAACYAATACAAAACAATGTCTTCTAAGTGATTACTGTTAAGTTTTCTGATGTCGGATTTTTTCGATAGAAGGCTGTTAACTTTTTGGTGTCTCTTGGCAAATTAAGAATCATGTATTTTTGTATGTCTAGCTCATTCTTTTCCAGTATCTTTTTTTTATATATAGATATATATAATTCATAAATGGAGGAATGAGTTACATTACTTTTTCAGACACAAGCCATACCATATACCATATTGCGCTCTACTCATCTTGAATAAGAAACAGGCTAGAACAGTTAGTCATTTCCAGTGTCTGTCAACCAGATASAAGCTCAGTAAAATGTGCCATTTTAAACTTTAAGGACTGCCACTTACAGCAAGGACTTGCATTTGCTCTGCATTGCTCCCAAGCAACTTGTCATCTGAATAAATCTGTTTATTAAGGATTTACAGAGCTCTGGAAATACAGCAAGAAGTCTGTAACTCTTTTCATGCTCTTTGAACCCACTCAACACATTGTGAATTCAGTATAATTTTAACCTGCATTCTCAAGGTGTGATGATAAAGGTGTGTTTCATTGTCTTTCTTTTAATGTCTCAGTCACCTTTTCTCCTCCCATTTTACCCTCTACTCTGTCTCTTGTACCTTGATGTCTCTGAGGGTGAGTCTCTTAGTGGTCTTCTATCACATTCAGTTCACTTGATTGTCTAAAAGMCCCTTGCAGAGGATTTTCTTCCTCCACGTGCTTTTGCTCTGGTGGTGCACTTGCCTTCTCTCTCCCCTCTTCTCTCTCTCTCATTCTCTCTCTTGTTCTTCCTCACCTCCTTGTCTTTCCCAGTTAAGCCTCACTCCTTTCAGAAGACACTGAGATGGTAAAATAAGTGTCTGGAAAGCTGTGCCTTAAATTTATCTATCCAGTATCTGAGTGCTGTATCTAAAAATATGGGAATGGCATCTCCTATGGTCATTTTATTCACAGACTAAATGGAARCACTACCAGCCTCAACGATGATATTGATTGTCAATTACCTCTTAATTGCTAATGTATACATGATACTGGCTTTGCTTAATTGATTTCTATATAGAGAACATTGCATATCTTAGATATATGTTTTTCCCTTATAAAGTGTTACAGATTCCTTTTTATTTCCTTTCAGACYATGTAGCCAAAATTGGTACATGGTCTACAAATCTCCAGAGACCACATTATACATGAGGAGCTCATATACATCTGTGTATAAACATTTCAGTTAGCAGTTTTTTGCTTTGGAATTATAGGTGCTAATGCACAGGCATACACATACACCTGTGGGTAAACATCCTTGATTTCAATCATTTTCAAAGGATTTGCTTAGTCTAAAAGGTTCTGATTGCAAATTTTGTGCAGACAYATATAAATACTGCTTTGATTGGTTAAGTGATATACAGAAAAAAACCTGCAGTCTTACAGCCTATGTGTACCTTGAAGCATTTGCTCATTCTAYAGTTTGCAGCAAAACAAAAATTCAGACCTAAATCCAGCAGTCTTGGTATTTTCATTTCTTCATTATTTGTGAATTAGTAATACTAGAAAAACTGACATCACTGTATACCAAACAAATACAGGGCAAGAAACAAGACCTTCTGGAAAGTTACAGGTCTGTCACACTGAATCCAAAACGCAGCCCTGTACTGGCTACTAAGGAAAAAAAGTAACTCTGTCCCAGCTGAAAACCAGGACAAGGTTTAAAGGTGAGATTTGCAAAATTGCCTAATGCAGTAAGAGCCCAAATCCTCATTTCCAACTTGTGATGTTACCTTTGTTGGCCTTTTTAGAAGTGCTAAGTAGACAAAAAAAAAAAACCAGTGAAACCCAGGGCAAAGATGGGATTAATACAACAGTTTTACAGGTGAGGAGCTGAGGCACAAAGAGGTTAAAGATTTGCACAGTGTCACTCCAGGAATTGAGCATTGCCCTCGATTCTCCTGAGTTCCACTGCCCCACACTGCCCATACAACAGCTCCAAGTCTTCAGACATCCTGTGCATTATATGAAGCACCCTTTAAATCTCTGAGCTCTAGATATCCCACTTACATTTTCACTGTTAACATCTGCCTCACTTGGGCAGCCGAAGAGCTCTCGTCTCAGCAAATTCCCATCATATTCCAGGAACGTCAGGTAGAGGTTGCGGAAAAACTCCACATGCTTGTTTTTCACTCGCAGCTTCTTGGGTGAGTTCCAGTGAATCACCTCAGAAGGAAAAAAGAGAAAAGACATCCTGCTGTTAGAATACAGATTTGCTTTATCTGCTTTTTATGTGTGTTCAGTGCTGCCCTCTTAAAACCAGAAGAAAAAAAAACCCACAAACTACCCAGACTTCTTTCTGTCTTTTTATAGGGAACGTTTTGCTGTGTCTTCCACAATTAACTGCACACTCTGGAGGTGATGTGCATGGAAGCTCTTCCATGGTATATCACCTTCACATTTGAGTGAAGGTGATTCTCTAGGTGCTTCCACAACTCTAATCATGGAGCTGATGGGTTATGTACTCTGCTGAAGAAGCTGGAAGAACAAGGGACACAGTGATGTAGGAATTAAACATTAATCTCAGATTTCCACATGACTGTTTCTGCTAATGAAATGGACTCACTGTTTCAGGCCAGGCAGTCTCTTTCCTGGTAGGTATTGAGAAGAAGCAGCTTGAAATTAATTCCTATACCCATTTAAATAGTTCAAAAAGGACTGAACTTAATCTGATTTCCTTTTTCCCATTGCTTCATTTAAACAAGACTGATCTCGGTTGCATTAACACAAATACAGAGATGCAGCACAACTCCTCACCCTCTGAGTTACAATTTCTAGCAGATATTTATCCTCTGCTAATGGGATATGACTCTCATAGTGGCCTAGACTTAAACTGCAATGGTGGCATAAAGAGCCTGACCCTCATTTGCATCGATGCAATTTTGCACKGTTGCCTGTGTGAACAGAAATGGGGCCCTAAGGAAAAACCAAGAGACAGTCAATAGTGGCTTGCAGGAATGATTTCACTTTATAGASGCTAGGTTTTAAATGTAAGGAAAGAATCACCAAATACTTTGTATTCAGTTTTATTTCTGTGACTTCTAAAGAGATTAAAATAAGTGTCTCCCTTGGGAATGATTCCAAGCTCAGAGTTGTAGAAGTACTCTGAATCCATTAAGTTAATTGTGTGAAGACACCGTGTGACACAGAGCCCAGAGCTGCAGCAGCAGCTGCTGAGCTGGTCCATGGTCAGCTCTGCTCTGAGCATCACAGCTCAGAGAGGGAACACACAGAGCTGAGGCACAGCACATACAACAGGGGCAGCCCAGGGAAAATGCACAGGTGTCAGCAGCACAGCTCCACAGGAACAGGGAGCTCTCTGAAATAATGGTATTTGGTGCCCAGTGAGTGGACTGCATGAGGAAAGAGCAGGATGCAGCCTGAATTCTTCCTGGACTAACTTCTGCAAACAACACRGTGGCTCCACTGAGTATTTACACTGCTATAAAAGCTATGGCACTCTATTCTACACACCAATACCCGTGAAATATCTCCTTATAAGGAAAGCTTTATCCATTCCTGGGATTTCACTGCTAAGCCTACTAGGATGTCAGAAAACCGTACATGCAGTTAGAGAAAAGCAACTGTAGGGAAAAAAGATAAATTCAGATACTGGAAAATTGCTTTTTTCTGGTTACAGGAACACCTTAAATAAAGATTATGATGCATCTACCCACTGCATAAATTTGGGAAATAATTTGTACAAAAATACCTGGTGTAGGTATTTGTCCCAGGCAATGCTACATTCTTTGCTGGTTTTACATTTGTCCAGATGTTCAGAAGTGTAGCAAAACTGTGCAGTAACTCTTGCTGCATCATGTGGTGAAAATACAGACCACCACATAAATGAAAGGAGCTTTGGGCAGGTAAGGCATAAACTTCAGATGACAGAATTTCTCCACTGAAAAATGGATCTTCAAAATCTCTTTTCTTTGAAAGTAACYTGACGTATTTCATCCACTGTATTTAACTGCAGCAAAAGGTATTAATGTCTGAAAAAAATCTCAACAATTGACTCTTGCCTCAGGGAAATGGACACATGTAGCMGAAGCACAGGGCTGAAGGAACCTAAAGGGCTCTTTAACAGTTTTACAGGGTACCAGTATGCATTTTTACGTGCAGGCATAGAATGGAAACTGCTGGTAATTTGCACTTMTTTATGAGTAGATCAAAGAAAGCTAAGAGGCTGGCAAATGGGACAAAAATACTTGTTAAGAAAAACCTTTTGTGTGRTCTCCATACTGCTCCTACACTTCATGTGAGTTTCCTTTTGGATACTCACGAGCATCCTCATCTTCACAAGTATCCTAATGCTRCTGAGCACTCTGAGCACCCAAAGACCTGGAAACCATGAACACAGATATGGCTAATGATCWTAACCTCAGAAACTCTTACAGGACAGGCCCTGGGTACTGCAGGAGTTTCCCATCAACATACACGGTGTCACATCACAGCGAGGCATTTGCTGATGCCTCTATCCAGTTGTGTGGGAGATGATTTCAAACCCAGACAGCTGCAGCTGTCAATGTAGAGGCTCTTTTCTGCCATGCTTGGAGATTGTTGTGTGTGCAGAAGCCGGTAAGTGTCAAGGGCTTAGYTGGTGGTTCAGATCTGATCAGATTTGAAACGTGTCAGGATGCTGCACGCACACTGATGCCAGGGGAGCCTGGAGTGAACTGCAGAAAGCTGAATGGAGCTGATGACTGTCCAAAAGAGCTGATTTTTTAATCAAGAAAGACAGCACATGCCAATGTGTGCTAAGATGATGTGCTAAAGAACATGAAGGAACTGTGCAACCATCTGGATGACCCGAGGTAGAAAAACCAAAAAACGGGTCTAGAAAAACAGCAGTCTGCTTTTCAAATGTAACAGAATTAGATAAATACTGTGTGATATATGAAAGCATAAAGAAGAACAGCAAGTTACAAAAAAGCAACGAAACTCTAAACTCTAAACCATTGCTCTCATCCAAAGACCATATTATTTTTTATGTCAGCCCACAAACTCACATCCAGTTCTGGCTGTCTGATACGGTCTATTGCACTACCAGCTACAGCAGAATTTGTGCAGGCCAAGACAATTCTTGTACAAACTGTCATGGGCATCAGTGAGGTACAAGATAAAGACTGCATAGGTAAAGCTATGGCCATTGCATTGGAAACTTTATTGCGTGCAGCGGTAAATTGATTGGAGAAAAAAAATCAGTTGGCAAGAGACTTTARGGAAATCAGAAGGAAAAAAGAATTCACTTTGTTTGCAGACTGAGTCCACATTAAAAAGAGAAAGTGAATCTAGAAACTGAAAATCTCATTACTACAACATCCCAGTTCCAAGGCTGAATAGCACCACAATACTGTTTTAATTTCTCTAGTTTCTATGTTATTTCAAGCTCTGTTGGCTAACAGAGGGAACTGCAGCTAGAAATATAAAATTCCAGTGCCATTATGTGTGTAGAYACCTCAGGAACAGTGTTAGCCTTCAACTTGACCTATGGATCCTTTCCACTCTTGATCACAGCTTCATGAGAACAAAGAAAAAACACACTTCCCTAATCTTCATTTAGCAATTTTAGTACTGAAAGATCAGAATTTAAAATTCCACATCTATTTAACACTTGGTTAGTTGTCATTAAGCAATTTGGCACTATCCACATTTCTGTTAATACCATCCTAGTAAATCAGCAACCATTACCACTCCCTGATTACATACAGCCAGCCTCCTGTAACACCTCCAGACTAAAACAGGCTAACTGCACTGATAAGTCCCATTTATTCACCAGGTTCTGATCCAAGGCACTCAAATGATGACACAGGGAGAGCCTCGTGGACTGGCAGTGGGATCTGAGATGGGAGAGAGAATGTTAAATGCTGGGGGAGTAYAGGAGGACTCTAAGAGCAGTTATCTAAAAAACAAAAATACTAGCAAACCTTACATTATCATCTGCATTTATTCTCTGGAGAGATTAAATACTTCAAACCTGATGTTCAAACCACACAACAATAAGTTTGAATACAACGCTGTTTCTATAGGTACCTTTAACCTCTTTTTTTTCCCTGAAGCATTTTCTCTCTGAAAAATAAATATTTGGCCATATACCTCCTTAACCACAATCTCTTCCATTTTTTTACCCAAAGACACATCTTGATAATTTCTCACTCTGTTTCAGCCCTGCCAGAACCAGAGAGCAYAGGATATCCTGTATAATTACATACCTGCTTTCCAGCATGAAGGGTAAGACAGAAGAATAAAATAAGCTTAAATTAAAGCTAATAGAAGTTTAATTTTGCAGGACAGTGAGCAGATATCCTTAATTAAGCCCATGAGCACTTCACCATTTGGGTAAACAAGTCATATTTTGTAAACAGGAAGCTTTCCTGCTAAAAAAACTAGACTCCTTGCTTAGACAACCAGACACTTCCCACGGAAATCAGTAGGAGAGTTTATTTGGTAAATCTGCACAGTAAAGCCACTTATATTTGTCACTTTAACGCCATCTCAACAGGCTTTTTTACAAGTTTAAATATGCCCAAAATCACACTGCAAATATGCACCACATGTGTAACTTATGCCATGATTAGAAATATCTGGAATCTTTTGTTTTAAACTGTGTTGTATCAGAAATGAATGATTTAATAAAGAAACAATTTCCTCAGAAAGGTCCGTGTACTTCATAAAAATATCTAAACTACATAAGTGGAAGAGACTCAGGTTGGAGTAGCCAGCAACCCTGAGGTCCAGGCAGTGCTTTTTGGATGTGGGACTCAAATCCCTGCCCTTTGGGGTCTGTTGGCCATTTTCCCAGGGATTGCTTTGCTCCCCAGGTTCTSCCACTGCTGTACAGCACTGAGCTGACAGACTGCCCCTGCCTTGTACTTTACACAGGTCTTTACTGGTGCTYAGAAGGATTATTCAACTTCTTTTCCTTCAACTCCTCTAACACTGTTTAATGAGGCTTCCTGCCTGCAAAAACACCCCTATAAACCCATGATGCTCCCTGTTTAGAAGCACCTACTGACTCTAATGCTCACTCAGAGGAGGGGAATTGTTTAATCCTCTCGAGCCCCTACTCCTCTCATTGTATCTCTTCCTTCATTGGCATTAGAAGGTGTGAGGCTGCAGAACACCAGAACTGCTGCAGATTAGAGCTGAAGTGCTTGGAGAGCACGGAATGGCTCAGGGACACAAAGAGATGCAACAGGTCATGCCTGAGGCAGATCTGAAATGATGTATTACAGTTATGGAAAAGAACCTGTTTAAACTTTTGCAAGCAATATCACAAAGTCATCCCAGTGTGAAGGACATTCCCAGGGAGGACACAGTGAATCACAGAACATAACTTCCTAATGAGGAATTTATGAGGTTCATTATTTATCTATCTGCTGATTTAGTATCAGTTGTATTCAAAACCAGTTTGAAATGCCATCATTATGCTGTAAAGAATTTTTCTATGTTGGAGTGTGTGTAAATTCTAATAATTTGATACATTCCCATTGAAGAGTCCAGCATYTGATTTTTGTGACTGTGAATTACCACATTCTCTGTGTGTAAATAGCATCTGTATCCATGACAACCAGACTACATGACTGACTCATTCAATGAGGTCATGATTCATTGTCAGAGGTATCAAAATCATTACCTTCTTTCATTGTGCTTTTCCTGCCATTAGGTTTGTGCCAAATCATAGTAACTGAGATTTCCTTACAGACAGGAACAAACTGCTACCCAAGATGCAAGCAAAAACAGGGCTTAACCCAGCAAAAGCAATGCTTAAATGAACCTCAGTTTTAGACAGGTCCTCCAAAGAAAAAAAAAAAGATCAATAAAATGGATAGAAATGCAACTTAATGAGGACTAAACAGAAAAAAAAGGTGACTAAAATCCTCTTCAGGCAATATGAAATACTCAGCTGCTCCCTAAGCCTTGCATAAATGTGAACAAAGCAGCAAAGAAGTGTCTCCTCACACACACACAGACACACACACACACACACACACACACACACACACAGACACACACACACAGAGATCTCTGAACAGCCTCCAGCCCAGGGAGTCCAAGTTTACTCGACACAATGCTGTGGATGAGAGATGACAAATCCTCAACTCCCATGGACTTTGAGGCCAGATGGAATTAAATCAGCACTTTTTCGGTCTGACAGGGAGAATGCACTCTGATTTAGCTGAGAATACTTCCCTGGGTCAGCTTTAACTTTGAATTTGAATCTCTCCATGCACTTCCTTCTCTCCTATGCTATCCTTCTTTATCCCCCAGTACAAACTTCAAAATCTGTCTTTCTTTCCCTCTTACCCTGGAGGTTTGTTTTACCTAGTTTCTCATTCCAGTCTTACCATGAAATACAGAATGTGYCAAATCTGTTGTGTTGCACCATTTCTATTAAATGCCATGGAACTGGCTAACTCTGGTGATTTTAAGAGTGCAATTTTAACTCGGGGTAATGAGGTTTGTTAATTTTTTGTGAGACTCATATAGCAAAGCAGCCAGTTTCTTTACAGAGCTGTAATTCTGATAATTTTCATAATGCAAATTCACAAATTTAATTGGTCTATGCTTTTTTTTTGTAATTGTATGAAGAATTTTAAACAGTGCTGCCTGAGGGTCAGTTCTTCAACTGCTGTATGGGAAGAGCTTTATTGAAACCATGGCATTTATGTGCACGAGATAAGGCTCTGGCCTCTTTCAAGGCAAGAATTTCAGCCCTGATTTAGTACATAAGGGATAATTTTAGTAGCGTGAATAAGTCCAGTTTAGCTGAAGAAATTGCTTATGTGTCTGCACCCCTTGTTGAGTCAAAATACCTCAGACCAGAAAATCAGTGGAGAATATTACACCTCTTAGACTTCMCTGCCTATGCTGCAATGGAACTGGGAAGATACACAGTAATAAACAACCAAACCTGAATTGTAGTTGTGAAGATAAATTTGTTAATCAACAAGAAAAAAAGAATTTAATTCATTTAAAAAATATTTCTATCAAATGTTTGCTTGTAGGAGTTATCCATGAGTTAGATGTCCCATACCTGAAGCAGATTAGTTAATACAGCCACTGGAGCTGGAAGATCAGATGTCTACTCTCAGGGGAGCTTCACCAGCCTCATAAGGATGAGACTTTGACTCTCTAAATACAAATGTGCAGCAACACCTTACAGTTACCCTGCCTGCCTGTTGCCTCCCCCACCATGAGTACCTTCTCCTGTAGGTCTGTGTTTCATCTGCCAGACCTATATAGATAATGGAGAGCCCCTATGGTGACTCAAAMCGTGTTTAGTCAATGGAACCAAACCCTTGATCCTTATTATCAGCTTCAATATMTTTTCCTCATGTAAAAGTGCTGAGTCCAATCTGTCTGTGTCAGACAATTATATAAATTAATCTCAGCCTCTAATTCACAGAAAAATACTGTGGTATGTCACAGGTGGGAAGTTCATCTTTTAGGAAGCATTTTCCCTGTTATGTATCTTTCCTTTTGTTTTAGGTCCTGCAGTTGCTGTCATACATGATTCCCAACATGAATGCAGTACTAAAATCTCTGCTAGCATTTTGTTACAAGGCATAAAACCATGATGCTTTTAAGTGCCTGTGTTGATCCTGCCCCAGATATCATGACCCATTTAGTGATTAGTGTACTGACAGAATAGTGATTTAACTTTAAAAGCTGTCTTCTATGGATCACATCTGAATAGTCTGTTGTGAATATTTTATATATGAAATCCAAGCAATGCTGGCCAGTTCTGACAGGTCACTTGACCCATGCAGAAGAACTTCTGTCCCTTGAAAACACAGCTTTTGTAGTCAGTGTGTTGAGAGTGATTGATTTTCTATATTCATCCAGTATATGGAATTCATATTGAACATTCCTGCTGTTACTCTACAAATTGCTACAAGGGAAAGCTTGGTTAGATTTAGGATATATGTTGTACAAAGAAGGTGGCCAAACTCTGGAATATGGGACCAGGGAGCATGTGGAATCTCAGTGTTTAGGGATTTGACAGTCATCTGCAGAAAGCACTGAGCAACTGCATCTATGTTGGTCCTGAATTTTTGGGGGTTTGGATGGTCTCCAGATGTCCCTTGAAACCTCTTCCATAGTTCTGTATCTTTCTTTCTTTTTTTTTGGAACCTCATTTACATTCTCAAAACATTAATCCAAGTATACAAACCTGTACTGAATTTTAAAACCAATCACCAAAAACTACCTAATATTTACTATGTTCTGATGCCACTAGTCCCCTCTGATGGAATTTATTGCTGCAGTCTTATTCTGCACCTGGACAAAGCTCAACCAAGCTTCAATTCTGAACTCCCTGCATGCTACATTGGAGTCTTTGAGCTTGGTCTTTCAAAATGGCCACATCACAACTGATGTTCATTTACTTRTATCTCTTAAAATCCACCCTGCTTTTATACTCTACTTGTTAACAGTGAAAAATGTGCAATTAAACTGACACTATGGCTTTATTTCATTGAATTAATAGGTTTTTACTCAGCCTTTTTTTTTTCTCAGGACAAATCCTGGAAAAATGAATGGCAACATGACTGGGTTAAGTGTATGCAAAGGCTAAATATGAAGTGAGCGAARTCTTTGCATTTCTGCTAATGCATTTCTAGCTAGGGTCTGCCCCATCCTTTTTGTGAATTTCACTCAATTAAATTATGTTCAGTAAAGAGTTTCAAACTTGTCCAGTACAAAAAAGAAAGGTTTTGTACTCTTTGTCTAGGAAGAGCTAAGTCCTGGGACAGCAATAAGAATTCAGAAGKAAGACACACTGGCACAGGTGGCAGGTACAGAATGTAAGAAGGCAAAGCATTCCTTTAACACCTTGCCAAACCACAAAGCAGCATCTGTATTTGACTTTTCTTGTAGTAGACTAARTGCACAAAGCCAAAGTCACATTTCCTTCCTGTCTGGTGTCCTTACAAAGTGTACGTGTTAGTTTCCCCCTACTTAAGGCAGTTTATCTTTCTCACAGTGGAGTCCTGCGTTCCCTGTGTCAAAGGACACCACCCATCCATCCTCCTGTGCAMCATACCTTCAGGTCAGACACATCTCTGTAGCACTGCTCAGAACGGGTGTGATCAGAAAGTTGCACATTCCAGAAGCATGGGAGCTGGTAGACAAGGAAGGGATTTTGTTTGATGACCGCATTGAAGATATCCTAGCAGAAAAAAAAACAACAGAGAAACATTTGGGTATGTTGTTTCTACGTGTGTGTGAGGTGATCTCAACTCCTCCCCCAGCTGACTGTCCTTCTCCCCCTCAAAGTCAGAAATTCCAATGGTGAAGTCTGTAAACCTTTCTCCATAATTCTATTTCCACGGAGGGTGCTATTAATCTAAGGGGCGATATATAGATCTGGACAAGAGGAATAAGCTCTCCTGACACACAGAGCTAATGGACTCCAGCAAAGCTTTCAAGCATTTATCTTGTGCTGCTGGCATGAGGTGTGGTTCCTCTTCCAGTCATCAGTGAGAGTAACAGGCAGTACAAAACACAGTGTTGCTGGTCCTAAGTACKGCATTGCTTTTCAATAAAGTGGGGGGAAAGCGACCCGGGCAGCTACACTGCTTCAAGGTAAGTCACTAGGTGTGATTTTAGCTAGCACTTTATTGCTGCAACAAGTACTCCAGGTACTTTATGGAAAAGGYATGTAGGACAGCTCTGTAGAGCAGCCTACAGCCATGAGGGACAGAAAATGTTCTGCCTCTAAGCAGCCACTCAGCTGGAGAAGTAAATTACAAGGACAATGTGAGGGTTGGGTAATAGGGTAAGCCACAAGCAGCCTTTCTYTGCTCTGCAAAATTCTGCCCCATACAGGTATTAGGCTGCAGCTCAGGACTTGATTGAAAATACAGTGAAGTTGCAAGAATTATTTTAATGAACCAAAGAGCTTTTGGATCACCTTGCAAAGATGTTGTACAAAGTGCCCATCTCCATGTGCACTGTAAGCAGCATGCTTCCTGTGTGGTGACTGGTCATGAGCCAAATGTAGCTCAGAAGGAGAACAAATATCTAAATATTGAGTTAAAAAGCTCAAGCTGTTGAGCAAGAATTATTGGTTCAGGTCTAGTATTACATTAATGGAGTTTCTGGGCTTAAACTGAGAGCTGGCAAGAAGCAAAAATTGAAAAACTGCATTTTGATGTTTAGGCACACTATTTCTTCTCTTGGCCCCAGTTTCCTATCTGGGGACTGGCAGGGAGACAGCAGCACTTTTGTCTTTACAGGGCTGTTGTGGCAAGGAGCACATTAAAAGACATCTGGGACTCATCTGCCAGAAACAATAAATAAATGTCAGGAGACTCTTAAAACTAAAGTCTAATTAGACAATAACCAGCGGGAAAAGACACAGAACTTCTAGTGTCTGAAGACTTCAGTGTTAAAGAAGGGAGGACAGAAAATTAAAGCTTGAAACACCATTTGTTTCTCACATGAATCATCTGAGCAGAGGAGGTAAAAGTGTCAGTGTAGTAAGAGGAACCTCATTAGTAAATCTTCATTTCTCTCTTCCACGTTCTCAGAATGATTCAACAGATGTTGACTACAGGCACAACTGCTTTCCCCTGCCTTTCCCTTTCTTTCCTTCCTCAATCCATGGGTTAGTGGTTGTCCCACAGCCCTGCAATGTGCTACTCACCTGATCAGCCAGTGAGGTGGACAGCATGCTCATCAGCTCTCGCTCTGCYGTCAGTCTCCACATCTGCTCCCACTTCATCTTCCGTAACTTATCCAGAAGCAGCAGGATAACCCCTGAAGGCAAACACGGGCAGAGAACAAGAGAAACATGATGTCAAGTGCCAGCCAAGGCCCATCCTGTCCATGTGCTCATTCAGTAGTTGAAATTAGACATGAAGTTTATCACCTGATACATCTGATTGCAATCCTTGGAACTTCTCTGAGGAACAGATTATTAGTGCTGGTTACAACCTAGACTTTGAGAGGGCTTGCCATTAAGGCACCAAGTGTTCACAGAACAGGATCCTCAAACTGGAAATTTTAAGTGGGAAAAAATGTACCTCAGCATGCATTGTTATTCCTCAGTTGCTTTTTGTCTGGCCAAAATCCCTACTGTACAAAGAAGGGAAAACAGCAGAAGCAATTCAGTTGGATCAAAACCTTTCCTAGTGTCTCAGAAAAATTTGCTTGAAAGATTAATTTGGAAAAAGTTACCTAAGACTGATATCATGAGGAAGCAGTGCAGACTGAAGGAYCACAAAGGAGCACCAATAAACAGCAGCCTTGCAGGCTGACAGAAACTACCTAGWAAGAGCAATGATGGGTTCTGTGTTGTTTCACATCTTCATGGGGGGAAGGGGGAAAGTAAACAGAAAAGTAATGACATCTGCAAATGACATTTAACAAGAGGTCTTGCAAAAAAAAAAATCACAGCAACTGTAGAGAACCACAGCAGCTACACAGAAGGATACAAATTGACAAGAAGCAGGCACTGGGAAAAGCTGCCTCAGGGAGTCCAAGTTGATAAAACTAAAAYGAATGAGAAACAGAAAGGAAATGTAGTCTGAATGCTTAAGAAAAATTCTCTTAAAACAGCTGCAGTTAAAGAAACAAACAATGGCAGATACAATGCTTKCTTTCATGAGTCTTTCCAAATCAAACTACACAAGGATTAGAAAATACACCTGGAACAGTGCTGCACTGGGTGGGAGAGGACAAAGGTAGTTCCAGCTCCTTCCTATCTTTAGTTTCTATGACATGGCAAGTTTCTTTCTAGCAAAACCTGGCACTGCTGTGAATAAAAAGAAAACCTCTCCTAGCAGTGAATTTTGTGGCCTATTTTATCCATGTTTTCCATTTCAATCCATCTGGTTCCCAAAGATGCTGGAACCTGTACTGGAGGGATCCCCTTTCATCTTCAGTCAACCCTTCTGCTTCCAGCTGTTGGATTGGAAAGGGATGTATGTCACAATATGCTACATTTCATTTGTGGCCAGGGTGTTTGTCTTCTCTCCAGCATAAGGGAAACCTATTTGGAGCACGCAGTGAGCGTGCATTAGCTTCTATGAGAGACATTATGCATTGTCTGAAATTCTACAKCAGTGAGATGCAGGCTTCTTGTGCTGCAGCAATAAACTGGGTGGGAGATCTCCTCTCTGGCAAAGGATTTTTTTCCAGCTGGCAGGAACTGTCAGCTTTGCAGTGAAATGCAACTGAGAAGGTTTTTCATTAAGAACTATAATGGTAACATTCAGGTAACTGTAATAGAATAGTTTTTATAGACAACAATTTTTCTTTATTTCTCTAAGTCTCCAGTCTGAAGAGGAAAAGGGGAAATGTTTTAATATGTGCAGTATTCCCTGATCTTTTTTGACTCCCACTCTTATGCTAGCAGCAGATTATGGCATAGCAGCTAACAAGATGATGCTGTCCTGAGGGGCTATCATGAAGCAGCTGAAAGTAAAACAGGCAGATGGAGTGGAAAAACTGGAATGTATGTGAGAAAGGATGTTCTAAATTATAATGCAATCATGGCTATTGAAAATATTCACAAGGTTTTAATGTTTCACCCTCAAAACTAATTTTGATGTGATTTCCATTTTAATTTACCCACAGGTTTGACTTCAACACCTTTGTACAGTTTCTATTTAGGCTTCTAATTTACTGTTGCCATAAAAATAACTACTAGAGAATATTTATAGCCAGTTTAAATATTTACTCATTAATATTAGCAAGAATAAGGTATTTCTATTAAGAGAAGAATTTAATACTATTCACCTAGCTAGGGTTATTAAGGCTAAAAGCAAARCAAACACATATGTTTTGGGAACTTTTAAATAGTTCATGCAGAMGAAAAATTACTCTTTTTGAGAACACTGAACTTCAGGTTCCCTTCTATACTGTTGTGTTGCCAAAAGCAAACATAACAAATGAACTAACTCCAATCTGCACAATTAGTTTGCAGGCAAAGTGTCTGAAATAAGGAAAGGAAAATATTTGCCTCAGGAGTTGCTTCCCTCAGAGTCAAATTGACTGAAATCTCAGACTAAATGCAAGATGACATACAGCTGAACACAAGGGGAAACAGGACTCACTCTCATCTGCTGTGCTGGGGGAAGAACAGACTGGAGGAAAAACAAGAAATCAAAGGAATATTTTATTAACATCTGGCCCCAGGCAGTGGGACTTCTGATCTTTCGAGAAGTGCARCATCTTCCTGCCCTAACCTACCTGAGAAAAACAAAGTGAAAGCTTGGCAGCAAATAAACAAAAAGAGAAAAGTGGCAAACCAAATATCTCATGAGTATTAAACAAATTATGATCAGCCACAGAACTCCATGTTTCCCTTGTCCTGAGGAAATAGTTCAGGCATTTCCAGAGATGCAAATATCTCAAAGTTCTCTTGGAAAAAGAATGTTTCATTACTAAATCTGTGGAACACATCCGAATCTAGTCATTACTTGAATGGCATTTTTCTCCCCCTGCTYGATGAGATTTTGCTTGAACTACCAAAATTTGACAGATTCTGAATTGCTCAAACAGACAAACAAACAAGAAAACAAACAAACAAAGCAGTTCCTCAAGAATGTCATTTAAGGACACATGCAAAAAACTCAGCTCCAAAAGCAAAACAAAAAAAAAACTTGCCCAAAACTCAAGAAGAGTAATTTGATGAATAAATTGGATAAAATAAGGCAATAAATCTAAATTAACTTATAAAATGTTTCAGTTAGGAAACACTGCAATTTTTTTGGTACATTTTAGAACCCAACTTACTCTAAAATAATTTTCATCTCAAAATTGATACAAATTAAAAATTTATTGAAAATTATTGCAAGATCTCTAAAGGAAAATAAATGGTCCACACTGGGTCTAACCAAACTTTGAATTTTTTGTCCTTTTCCCATTTTTTGATTCAATCTAAAACAACTTTTTTGTTCTTCCAATGTTTTTATTAAGCAATGGTTTCTATAGATACTTCAAGGCAAGTCAGCCAATTAGTCTGTTGGGGTTTTTTTTGTTTGTTTTTTCTTTGCTTTTGTGTTTATTTATTTTTTTTTAATTTGCTCTGGAACAAAACGTTTTATTTCACTTTTYGGAATAGTAAATTGAAAGTTTGCAGAAAGATCAGCAATTTCCCTTAGAATGCTACCAAGCATTACACCTCTTGCTTCAGAAACACAGACAACAGCTTCTCCTGAAATTCAGAGAGGAACATATAGTAGAGCTGGAATTAAGAAACAACATTTTAAGACAGAAYAGAATCACTTAGAGAAGTTACAGTGAAACTGGACAAGCTTTCAAAGTCAGTTTATTATAATAGGGCTTTTAAGGTGCCTGAAAGTTACTCAGTGATGTGGGGAAAGAAAATGTAGCTACCAAGAAATCATTTTCTGTATGATCTTGCCTGTTCGTTTTGGGTGGAACAAGATGCTTTTGTGGGCCTTAGAAGCAATGTATTTTATGCGAGTAGCACCTCAGAGCCTATACTTGTCACATTTTTAAAAATTCTTCTTGATATTAAGCCTGCAACAGTGAACCATCTAGACAAACAGCAAGCAGATATCATTACAATATCCAAAAAAAGATAAGTAAGACACACTTCAAAATATATCATAAAGCAATAGGGAGGTTTTAAAAAAATGGCTGGGGTTTTACTATAGCTAAGCAGCACACCAAAGACCATTCACCAAACCACTGAGTCTGGGATGCTGTAAGAAAGAATGTCAAGCAGACTTGATATTATAGAGATTTTCTGTAACAAATCGCTGACCCAGACATTTAGGGCACTAAGCTACCATGTATTGTGAAACAGATTTGGTATCAAAAATTTGCATTCAGTTTTAGGAGCTATGGAAGGAACCTACGTTCCAGGAGAAGCTCCATGATAGTGCTGATTGCTCAGTACTCTAGCAAATACTTGTGCAACTTCTTTTAATTTATTTATTATACCTGACATCGGTGGAAATCATGACAGTGTGTAACGTGTTAGGAATGTGAGTATGCCTTTGCTGGATCAGGACTATAGTGACCAGTTTTGTTAAGGGCTGCATTTGGAATCCACTGAAACACAGCTTCACACCATTGATTGTGGCCTCTGTTTCCCACCCAGGTATCAAGAGCAAACAGAACAACACAAGTATATGGCTGTTGGGAATTAAAAAGTGAAATCAAAGCCATAATTCCAAACAAGTCACTGCAAACATTTTAAAATCTTAATTTTGAGTCTTTGTGCGGATGAAATTCACTGTATTTATTTCACTTGGCTCATATATTGTTGCTCATAATTTGATTAGCCCTGTCATTTATGTAATAAAACCGTATCTGTCTATAGCTTTTAACACAGTGTGACCAAAGGACTGTCATTCCAGCACATTTTTGGAGTATCTTGATACATTATTTAACTATGAACTTATGTGCACCAGCCTTTTTATCTCCAAAAAGCTTTTTATAATAAAAAAAACCCCAAACTAATAAAAACTTGCAGGGATGCACAACATGTTCATTGAAAATAAATGATGATTCCACATTTAAACTTTTTTCTAAGGGAACTGCACAGGGCTGAGAAGCTGTTTTGAACAAAGTGTGTGTCCCTCCAGGCATGGTGACAGAATGCAATAGCCCTTGTTTTCTCGGCACATGTATTAAAAGTGAAATTGTCACAGAGGGCATTTTGAAATGTTGTGCAGTCACCCTGTTGGGAGGCCAGTTCCTCCTGAAGCATTATAAACATTTTGTTTACACTTCCTGATGACCATTTAATGAAATAGAACACTTCTGGTTTCTTTATTTTT